TGTGTCTCTGCCCCACCTCCACCACCAGGGGCCACCCTCCTAAGTACTGGTGTGGGCAGTTGCCAGAATCTCTTAATGGACCTTGTCAGTTTCCATTTCCTCATTCTCCCAATCCATCCTACATGCACGACATTTAAATGGGGATCCACTTTAGAAAGAAGGCCCCTTAAAGTCAGACTTGGGTTCATGTATAGGTATGTGTCAGCTGTGCTAGCTATTGGATATATTTAGACTAATTAAGTTCATTGGCAGAACAATTGAATGGCGGGGGGAAGGTATGGAGGGCAACCGTGGATGCCAGGGACAATGGGGGAGGAGGATGGGACATAGCAGAGGGTGGGGGGTGGGGAATCAAGGATGGCAAAACAAAAGGCAAGGTATGCAGGACATAAGAATTGGAAAATTATTTGCTGAGAACATGTATGTTGATGTGCTTGATTGAGCCAATGCACAATGTATTTTGGATGGAAAATTCATTTGTGTGTTGTGATGGTGTATAGTGAATTAATGTAGAAAATGAATAAATTTAAAATAAAATTTAAAAAACATTAAAAAAAAAAAAAGAAAAGAAAGAAGGCCCCTTTGGATCAGCAGTTGGCGCAATGGCTATGTTGCTGGACTCCCATGTAGTCAACTGCGGTTTGAGTCCCAGACCCAGTGGCTTCAACTCACGCTGGGTGCGTGTGTGTGCGTGCCCAAGATCCTGAGAGGAGAATAGAAGAGAAGGGATTGCGGCATGGCCATCCCGCCTGGGGGTGGTGATTTCTCGCTTTCTGTCTCTCTGTCCTCTCTGTCTTTCTGGCGAGGACACTATAGCAAACACCTCTCAAAAAAAAAAAAAAAAGGTATAAAAAATTTAAAAAAAAAAAAAGAAGGAAAGAAGGCTGCTTGCCCCTAGAGATTCAGATCCACTCAACTGAGAGATCTCATTTTACAAAAGCTTCCCAGATGATTTCTGTGCATATCCCTGATGAAAATCGATATTCTGCAAGCCTCTAGAGTTATCTTTTAGGAACCCAGTTACAGTCACATCGTTCTTTGACATAAAAATGTTCTGCACTCCCCTCACTGCCTATCATATAAAGTCCACATTTCCTAGCTGGCGGTAGACCCTGCTTCATTCACATTCCAGCCCTAATCAACCTTTCCTGCTGTGTCTTCAGCTTCTCTCCTCAGGTACCAGAGAGTCTAATAGCCACAGTGCATCATGTACTTTTGGATTTCACAGAAGTGCCTTTTTTTTTCATGCCATTTCTAACTAGGGTGTCCTTACCTTACTATTTTTTTTCTTTCTGTATTTGGAAAACACTTCTCAGTGTTATTTTACCTCTCAGGCCGTTCCTGACTGTGTCCACCCCTGCTCTCCTCCCCATTTCTCCAGGCAGGAGTTGCTGCTCCTCACCTGAGTCAGCACTGCCTGTACTTGCTCATTAGTCAGCATCCCAATTATTTGTTTGCATGGCCGTTTCGATCTGTATATAGTTATGTCATTAGAATAAAGGTATCTTATCTTTATTAGCAGCCGCCTTTTTATGAGTAAAAGTGCCTCTT